TCGATAATATTCTAACTTTAAAAATTTTTCGACGATCGTATGCTAATCGAATCTACAAATCGCTTATGTCATCTCAAAGCTTATTTCGAAAACTACATTATAGACATATCAAATAAACCAAACAGATATTGAAAATAGTTAAAAATACATTAAACGTGAGTTTTAAAGAAAGACATTTAACTCGCATTTTTTTTAAAAAAAAATTCAATTATTTCATTAACATTTATTATTTTTGCAATACAAATTTCTTAATATAATTTTCATCATTTTATTAGGAAATTTTATATGGAATATGACATTAAAAAATTTCGAAATTTTACATCTGAAAAAGTCATATCCCTTGTAAATTTTTGGATGCAAAATTACATGGAGTATGATTTTTTTGAACGTAAATTTTCGATTGTAAAATTTCTCCCAATTTCTTTGCAAGTTCGATTGTGCCTCCCCTAACTTTAAACTTCTGCTTCCGCCCTTGTGCTTTGTAGTGACGTTTGAAATGTGTGGTACCAATGCTTTTTTTGCCATGCCACCATTATTGACCGTATTTACATATTGCTTTAAGACTTTAGGACTCTATCGACTTCACGATCTGTTGAAATCAATTTAAAGTCATCCCCACATTTTGGACCATACCAAACAGGAACTTGCTTTTTCAAATTTATTGGTCAAATCCGAATTGATTTTTAGTCAAATAAGCTTTGGTATTAGTGTAGCACTTTACCTAAATTACTTTGATGATCAATTTAGCAATAAACTAGGTTAATTAGTTCTATTCAGTGCAAGTAAACAACTTCAATACAGTGTGCTTGAATCAGGCATTTCTCATCAGTTGAAGGTATTGACTTGTAGGAGCAGTTTATTGACTAGTAGACGGGATGACTCTTGACACTCTTGTAGAAACATAGTTGAGGTTATAATTCAGTCGCCATCACCTAGAAGGCTCCTTGATAATCTGCTTATCTAGAGAGAGTCGATCGTTGTCGTTTTGGATCGTCATATAGGTTTGACGTCCATCTGTGACTATTGCAAGTCGGTTTTGGCCAATTTGAGACTTGTGTGAACTGACCGGACTCTTGTAGTTTCGTCTAGCTAATTTGTGCTAAACTACATGCCACTTGTAAGGGATTTGAGCCTCAAGA